AAGAGGCAAAAAAAAGGGGGGGGGCCTGTTCCGCCCCCCCACTCAAGCCTCCAACACCCCCCATGGATCCCTCACTTACCCCTGGAGGCGGTGGGGGGCCTCTTCTGGATGCACCCAGGGAGGCGGCGGGGGGGCTCTTCTGGCCTCCTCCCAGCTGCAGCGCTCTGGCGCTGGCCCGGGGAGGCGGCAGGGGGGCTCTTCTGGCCTCCTCTGGGCCGCAGTGCTCCAGCGCTGGCCCGGGGAGGCAGGGGAGGCTCTTCTGGCCTCCTCCAGGCCGCACCGCTCCGGCACGGGCCCTGGGAAGGCAGCGACGTGCGTCCCCGGGGCCACAGCGCTCCAGCGTGGGCCCTGGGAAGGAATTGACAGGCCTCCTCGGGTCTCCCAGGGGCCACAGCGCTTCAGCGCGTGCCCCGGGAGGCCGGCAGCAGGCCGTAGCGGGGGGAGCTGGGGGCGGGGCTTGCTGCCACCACCATTTTGCCAGCTCCTGGGCCCCCGGGAGCAGCGCTCCAGCATGCTCCGGCCCCAAAAGACCCCTGACTGCAGTCAAACTAAGCATTTAAAGAAACACACTTACCAAAACATGAAATCATTACAGGGACCTACCTTGGACCCTTTGCTGATCCAGTTCAGATTCAAGCAGATACTCGTTGGAAATTCTCTTAAGTTGGTGGGACTGGGCAAACTCAGTTAGCGTGGCCATGAGCCTTACACGTTGAAGCAGAATGGGCATGTGGGGGTGCAAGGTTTGGACAGCAATACTAGGGATATGCTCAGGAGACCTTCACCCACACCCCCTAAAGACCGCCTCTGAAGCAAACCGCTGCCTTGGAGGAAACGCAGTCTACAGGGATGAGTACAAGGGAAGTTTCAGTCAGCACCTCTCAGCCCCTGCAAATGGGGGTGGGAGGCTTCCTTCAGGTGAGCAGGTTTATGAGAAGAGCAGAGAGAAAATTGACACCCACAACAGGGCTGAACAGTTTCTTTGTCGGTTTCCTTGGGGCAGAGAGGGGGAGACGGGCCAGGGCTTGCCTGAGGAGAACTCCAGGAGGACCTTAAGAGATCAAGGTCGTTTGCAAAACGCTTCGCAAAAAGGAGGGAAGAAGAAGTGTTTAAAGAAATGCCTGGGAGAAGACTCTCCTTTTTATTTACCTTCCTCTGCACATACAGTACTTTCTGTTTTGCATGTTAGCCGTGAACTGGCAACTGAATTTAAAAAAAACCCACAAATACAATTTACACTTGGAATTTGCAAACTCACTACACTTCGCAGCATTGAGAAGTTCTTTCAATTTTGCAGAAGGGGGACTAATATATCACGGCTAATATTGTCCCCCCCACACAAACCTCTCCAAAGTATTTCAGTGCCCCCCCCCCCTCACCCCTGCCAGTCTTTCTGTCTTTCTTGTCTGGCTGTACTTGTAAGGCATATTCTAACATTTCCCATCCTCAGCAGCAATGAACTACCGAGTTGGGCAGCTGTTTGCGTCTGCATACTAAAAAAGAAAATAAAAGTCAAGTTTTGTGGAGCAATGAAGCCAGAGCAGACCCTACCCCAACCTCTAACTTCAGACACATTTCTCCCTCTGAACACTGCAAATTTAAAGGGGGAGGGGAGGAGGATACATTTCTTTTCCAGCCAAGAATTAGTCACTCAAGTTTCCACTTTGTGTTTTATGGCTCAAGACCACAACCTCCAACCAGTGCGCCCACGTTCTCTCTCACACACACACGCCCTTGGACCAATCTTTTGTAAAAATAAAAGCGATCCTCATTGAGAAAAGTTGCAAAGGCTTCCTTAACATTGCAGACAGCCAAATTACTCGAGAGACCCCATTCACTCAGAATCTGAACCCCCCACCACCACCCCTCAAAATATTAACCCCACTTATTGGGGTTCCCTCCGGCTTCCGTCTCAAAACTCCTCCCACCCCCAAGAATGTGAGGATTACAAAGTTTTCTTTTTTGTTTTCGTTTTTTTTTATTATTATTTTAGCCATTTACTTTGGCCTGAAGAACTTCCAACAAAAAGACACTTGTCATTCTTAAGAGAAATTAAAAAAAAAAAAAAACCCAAAAAACTAAACTCATCCAAAAGTCAACAGACTCCTCGATGCTACAGAAACTCAGTTCAACTAAGGTCTGGAAGGTGAGGATGGTGGGCGCAGGGGCCTTTCACAGTAAATTGGGACAGTTTGTCCATGAAATAATGTAGCATCCTGCCTTTCCAGGTGAAGAAAATACAGATTTGGGGGGAGGGGGGGGACAGGGTTCCCAAATCTGACGCAACGTGAACCAAATTCTCTTAATTCAGTATAAAAAGGCATATAGGCACCGTCTGACGAATCTTGAAATTCAAGGAGGCAAAGAGGAGGGGGGCAAAACGTATGTCACCATGGCAAGACTCAGCCTGGACCAACACATGGAAGGAAATGAGGTGGCAAAGAGTAGGGTGAACTCAACTGAGGCTGCAAATGGAGGAATCACAATTTCTTTCTTTTGCCCGGCCGTCCCACCACCCCATATAAAACCTCTCCTTCCTATCAGTAAACAAACATGAGGAGGATGAGCAGAGCCAACGCCAAGAAAATGCCATCGATTGTTCCTTCTGTCACCTCACTCTGGATATTGACCACTGTGCCCATTCACGTCATCCAGCTGTTCGGGCTCCAGGCTAGAAAAACACAACTCATATCTGCCAATTTGATCGTTCGTTTTTAAAGGGCTCCTTTCCTCACCTCCGAGTGGGGAAACTCACTCTATCAAACCTAAATCGGGAGGTCTTTTCAGGATCGACAGATTCCGATTCAGGACAAAGAACTTCATTCTAAATCCTCTGAGGTGAAGGGCGGGGGTGGGGGTGTGTGTGAGAGGGGCTGACACCAGCCCGGTGAACAAAAAGGGGAAAAGAAATACCAACGATAAACCGAATTTCTTTATGGAGGCCACACACGGGTGGGTGCGGGTTGCCCTGGCCAACTGGCCGCTTTAAAGAGTGGAGGGCGGGATCCGACACCACCCCTTTCCGAAGATACCGTCCCCCTCCAGTCATCTAATAAGGTACCCCTCTTCCTCGCCCCCCTCTCGGGGGCACTCTACTTGGCCCGCGGAAGGCCTTCCCGTAAGCAGCGGACTGGACTGGATTCCCCCACGTGTGACTGGCTCCTGCGTCACTAGAACTAGCGTTGGCCACTCCCACCTCGCCATAGTTGTGGATTTTGGCCTCCGGGTGCGCAAGGGTGTTGTGGGTCCCCTCCGTTTTGACGAAGGACTGCCCGACAGCAGACTGTATCCCTAAGGGGACCCGAGTGAAACGGAGGTCCTGGTCTCCTGGGAACTGAACAGATCCTGCACCCTGGTAGCCGCTCGACTCCCCGAGGTGACTCGTGGAGCCCAGAAAGGTCCTACTTTTCCCCAAAGGCTGGGGTGACGTCTCTGTCAAAGTCTGGCTGGAATTCCGTTCGTCAATGTCAAAGCTGCCGCCCTCGGGCCCGTCGACAATGCCGTAAGTCCTGGCCGAGGGTTGTGGCCGGGCGTAATCCGCGGAGGGCCTCGTCGGCTGGGGTTCCTGCTTTGGGTGGCTTGTCGGCCCTGCCTCTTGCTGGGACAAGAGATGGAGGAGGGCGGCTGTGACAGCCGGGTTCAGCTCCTGAGCTGCATTGGAAACATCCTCCTCGGCCAGATTTGGTGGTGGTGGTGGTGGTGGTGGTGGCGGAGCCGGCGGCAGCGGTCCAGAAGGCTCAGGAGGTCTCTTCTCTGGTGGGAGAACGTGTGGACAGGCTGTGGAATGGTTATTTCTTTTAAACACCATCTTAAAAGCACACGTGAACAAACATCAAAACATTTCAGAGACGAGGCCGTATGGGGCGGGGAGAGGGGGCCGCTCGAAGGTAGACCGCATGCATTATTTACAGAAGGTCCCAGGGTCTCGGGTCACAGGCCTTGCAAAGACCCCTACCCGAGGTCTTGGAGAGCCACGAACCGATGGGGTGGGTGGTAAACAGGTAAAGAATTGTAAGTGGGGCTGGCGGGTCATCTACGGTAAGCTGTAACTAACGAGCCTCCCTGGCCCAAAGAATCCTTTCTGCACCAATGCAACAAAAATACTGAGACCTGAATACAAGGTGGAAGTTTATTTCAATTGGCATGGTTTATTCCACGGGGTGTCAAACATTAGGCCCGGGGGCCAGAACTGGCCCACCCAAGGCTTTCCTGCAGCTCACAAGCAACTAATGCAAGGGGGGGGAGTGAGGGGAGCCACTCCCTTGTGGCTTCAGCACAGCAGAACCACCTCGTCTCCAGCAGTCAAGCAGCGTGGGAACATCTGCCCAGCGCTACACTGCTGCCTCTCCAGTCTGCCTATGTGGGTGTTTCTCTGCACCCCCCTCCCAGCCAATGGGGCCCGGCCGACAAAGTGACATTTATGTCAGATCCGGCCCTCGTAACAAATTCGTTTGACACCCCTGGTTTATTGTTTCTCCTTGATATTGGGCAGGGCTCTTTTTGTAGCAGGAACGCCTTTGCATATTAGGCGACACACCCCTAATGTAGCCAGTCCTCCAAGAGCTTACAGTAGCCCATGTAAGAAGAGCTCTGTAAGCTCTTGGAGGATTGGCTACATTAGAAGAGGAGGAGATTGGATTTATCCCCCGCCCTTCACTACCCAAAGGTGTCTCAGAGCGGCTTACAAACTCCTTTCCCTTCCCCTCCCCACAACAGACACCCAGTGAGCCAGGTGGGGCTGAGAGAGCTCTTGACAGAAACTGCTCTTTTTTTCAAGAACAGCTCTTATCAGAG